GGCAAAAGGAAATCCTTCCTCCCCACCCGGAGGCTCAGCCCTGGTGCTGCAGAACAGCACGTCCCAGGGGAGCACAGTGCCATGCTCCTCCAGCACTTGGCCGGCTGCCTCTGTTGATGCTCTCAGGTAGGAAGAGCTGCATTTCGGAGTGCTTTTCTCACTCCCCTCCCCTGCCAGCTTGGCACAGCTCCCTTCGGGCAGGAGAACGCTGTGGATGTGAGAGCCATTGGTTGTGCAATGTGACATTACTGAGCGGCGCAGCATCCTGCCCAGAGAGCAGCACACTGCCATTAATTGGAGGGAAAACAATCAGAGACCTGCTGCTCCTGGAGTTTGTTGAAAGCTCAGGAAGACGGGGAAATGTTGGTGTTTATGAGGCGGCAGCTGGTGCTCAGCTCTGGCAGGGGAGCGCGAGGAGGAGGAGGAGGAGGGAAGCGGCTCTATTTGAGTTCAGAGCCTAATTGGCAAAACTGTAATAATTCTTAGATCAAATAGATGACGTGCTCAGCCCACTTGCATTTTTAGGCTTCTGTGTGTAATAGCAAGTCATAACACTGGGGATTTTGTGAATAATCATTCCTGCTTGCCTCCCCTTCCAGGGAAGGATTTCCAACACGCTTCCCCAAAAAGCAAACGAATATTATCTTTACAGGGCACGATAAGACAGAGGAGACAAAGGTCTGAAACAACTTGGCTAGGTTTATTGGGTGATCCAATAGGGTGCATGCCTGGGAATTAGGATTGCTGAACCCTCTGGCTGTGCCATGCAGAGGATGGGGTGTATACCTATTGCAGAGCATGTGCTGACAACGAGGCATCAAGGGGGCTCAGGACCAGGACCCCCGTGCTGCCCATGTCCAACCCTGCACAGTGACATCCCTGCACCAGTGGCTCTTTCCATGCAGTCATCAGGTGCTGATGGTGACAGCAGCAGATCCCTCACTTTTATGCACGGAGGAGTGTGTGTCAGAAGGAGTGGCAGCAGTAATACGTCCAGGAGCTGCTGTGGCTATTGAAATGGGGGATTATGAGCATAAAGGCTTGGCTGACTCACTAGACCTCATTAAAGTCTAATAATCGCTATAAAGATGCAGCGTTGGGCATCTGCAGCCCCAGCTCCGAGGAGCTGAAGCTCGGTGAGGATGCTAATAGCCGCTTGATAGTTTGGGCATGGAACTGTAAAATGTATTTATTTGTGTAGAGAAAGCACTTAGGATTCCCTCCGCCAGGCAGAGCCTTGGTGGTTGTATTCAGGAACAGAGGGGCCGGGTTTGTCCTCTCACACCTGTGGCTCAGCAGTAATTTTCTGTTTGCATTTAAATCCATTTTGGGAATACTTCTGTATGTGTTTGCTTGGGAAGTCTGGGAATATCAGGGTGTATTTTCCAGTAGTTGCCCCATTATGAGTTCACCTAGATTTAGTATCACCAGCCTAAGAACTTCCTAAAAGAAAACCTGAGCCAGAATGTGACCCGAGCATCAACTGGAAATGGAGTAACCAAGGGGCTCTGCTACCAACTGCCGTGGGAACTCCTCCACATATTGCCAAATTCTGGTGACGTTCTGATAGTTTGGTCCTCCATCACCTTCACGCCTTTAAGGAAGTTCTCCCATGAAGTGGGACCCTGTGACCATAACTCTTGGTGGCTCATTAATTAGCACAGAGGGTTTTATGAACCATCTTCCTCCTTGTTTGGTCCATGTGTCCGGCTGCTCTCTGCAAGAACCCTGAGCTGAGACAATTGATGCCTTGAAGCTGTCACAGCAGCAAGATGGATCCGGTCGTGCCATGCTGGTGGCAAATGGTGCCTTCCTGTGAGCTTTGTCCTTTCTGAAATCCTGCATTAACATATTATGAAGGTGATTGCTAGCAATGTGAGTCACGGGCCACTGCTGGTTTTTGGATGTGGTACATAGAGAATGGCAGAGAGACAACTTCTGATGGACTGGGAGATGGCAAAAGGCAGAGAGAACTCAACCCGCGAAGAGTTGGATTTGAGGTTGATTGCTCCTAATTATTTTTCAAGATACAGGGCAAAATTAACGAAGGAGTGCTTGGACTGTAAGTGGAATTGTGGCAAATGAACCTAATGGGGGAATTACTCAAGTATTAACCAGTGTTTTGAGGAAGGTGGTGGAAGAGCCAGCACTAAAGTCTTGAAAGCTGGAGGTGATGGGAGCCTCTGGGTGGGCACTGGGTGCCTCAGCATCGCATCCTGATGCTGTCCTGCCTCATCCCATCCCAGCGCTGGGCAGCCCTAATGAGTGCAATTAATGGCTGCTGATGGGGCTTAATGGGCTGCTTTGGCGTTAGGGTGGCGTGTTCTGGAAAGATGGTTTTGAAATGTGCTGGAGCACAAATTAACTTGTCTGGGAGAGTCACGAAACTTAAATTAGGAGGATTTTATAAGGAAGAGGAAGAAGTATTAACAAATTAAAGAGAACTAATTACTGGAGATGGAGAATGTTCGCTGTGTAGTTGTAGATGACAGCGGTTTGTGGTTCCCACTGGGACCCTTCCTGCTTTGGAGACAAAGGCATTGCCCATCCGCTGGGTTATCAGAGCTGATAAGGAGCTGCATTTCATACACGGAGATGGGCTCTAATTGCAAAACTGCTGCAAACGCTTCTGTGGCACTTGGCTGAACTCTGGAGTCACGGAGGGTTTTTGAAGTCTGCTTTCCGCAGTCATTACATGAGGCTCTGTTTGTAATGAAGTTTGCAACTCAAGAAACTTCATTTGGACAAATTTTAGCTCTTCCCCCCCACCCCCCAGAAAAAAAAAAAGAAAAAAAATCCATTTTATGTTCAGCTGTTAATTGGGAAAGAAATTAGCCTTGGTGATCCTGCAGTCATAGGGTCTGATTCCACTCGAGGAGCGGGCACAGCTCATGGCCAAGGGTAGATGTGGCACTCAGGGATGTGGACAGCAGGCGATGTGTTGGGGATGGGCTGGGGTTGGATTTGGTCAACTCGGAGCTCTTTGCTACCCTCACAACGTGAGCCATGCCCACGAGCAGCAGCCACGAGCCATCCCCAAGGGCAGCGACCCAAAGGAGCGGTGCTCTCTGTGCACTGTGCAGGTTTGGGATGCACGATTTTCCCTTCCGTTGTTTGCCCTCCAGCTCAGCAAAATCCTTTTCTGAGAGCGGGTTGTGACTCCGCTAGCAGGAATCCTCTTCTCCCAACCCAGAATAATGGCCCGTCCTGGTCTCCTAGTAACTGCGCTGCCACATCACTTTTGACAATGGTGCATCCTTTGTAGCCTGTTTTTCTGTTCCTGCTGTCTGCTCTGTTTCTTCAAATGGCAATTGTCTGAAATTTCTCCAAATGGGCAACTTTTGTGTGCAGAGGTTTTGTTTGTTTTGTCTGTGCCTTTCTGCAGCCCTTCCTTGCAGCATAAGCTTTGGTGAGATGGCTTTTCTCCCCCTCCCCAAATGCTCATCCTGTTATTTTCTGAAACCGCTCTCTCAAAGCGTTTGAAACTTTCTGTTCTCCGAGTAAAAGTCCTCTCATTGATTATTGCACTAAAAGCTTTTCTTTGCTCGATGTATTTTGGAACTGGCTCCTGCCTGTACGAATGCATGCGATGGAACTTGGCAGATGTGTGCCAGCACCCAGCAAACCCAGCTCCGGTCTGAGGAGAAGGAAGGGATTGGACTTGTTGAGGCCGAAGCGTAAAACATGCTGTGGAATTAACACCTTGCTAATACATGGGCCACGGTGCTGTTGGCTGAATGGGATTTGTTGGCTTAAGCTGGCCTGGTGCTATGGATACACAGTCTGGGGGCACAGGGGAGGGCTGGGAAGGGGGATGCTGCTTTTGTTTGGTTTTCTCTGTCGGAGCAAAGTGTGAACCTAGAGCATGGATGCTCACGGGGGAAGTAGGGAATAGCCATGGGAGGTGCAGAAAAGCTCCATGTACAATCAGTGGCCACTGGACATGGGGGTGACAGTGGGAAAGTGGAGGGGTCTGAGGCCCAAAATAGGGCTCAATGTCCCTTTACAAGAGAGGTCCAGGTGACGGAGCAGAGCTGAATTTGGACGGGCACAGCCCAGTGGGAGCACAGCAATACCCTGAGCACCCGCCTGCCTCGGGCACAGACTGAACTTGCTGTCAGTAACAACACTTGACCTGCCTCGTTACCACCGTAAAAACTTTATTCTCTCTCCCAAGGACAGCACTGTGAGTTTTTTTCCTTCCAGGTCAGTTAAATGCTACAGTCAGAGCTCGACTCCGCCACCCAACCACACTCTTCTGCACCCAGGAACCCGCAGCTCCGAGCCCAGCACACACAGACACGGGTGGGAGCCCCATGAAACACAGATGAGATGAAGGGGAAACGCATGAATCACACAGCGTCAGGGGAAACACATGAATCACACGTTGTGTCAGCGAGATTCGACAGATCTGACCAGGATTCCTCTCTCTGCGGCTCCATCCTTCCTAGTCCCCCAAACCAGTGGGCTGCGGTGGGGTGGCACTCGGGGTGTCCCTCCCTGTCCCACCCCAACGTTCAGCCCAAGTGTGGGAAAACGCAGCCCTGTTTCTCCCAGCACCTGGTTGGGGGGAGATGAGGTGGCTGTGCATGGCTGTCCCCCAGCCATGGCGTGCACCAGGTGCCCTTGTCCCTGCCGCGTTCTCCGTGCTGTGCCCACCTGCTCCTGCAGCCCTCTGCACCTGGTCCCCCACCTTTTAGGCCCACGTGGCCTAGATCCAGGCAAAAACCCATTATTGCACTGAGAAACGTGAGTCCTGATTCTGGCTTTATGTCCTATTTTCTGTATCCTACATTCAGACCCCGTACCAGTCTCTAAAGACCACGGATCCGGGCCAGCTTTAGCAACGCCTTTACCCCCATAGCCCAAATTTCCTCTCCTCTTGACAATTGGAGCTTTAGGGGAAAACTGAAAATCCTCCTCCTTCCTCACTTCCAGGGACCCACCCTGCTTAAAAACCATCCCCAGGCCGCCCCCCGCCCCCCCCAGCACCCGCTTATCACCGGGACATCCTGAGCACGCATCACCCCGAGGGGAAGTAGGGCACGTCGCTGTGGTAGTTGTAGTCGGGGCAAACCTTCTGCACCAGCCGGTAGTCTATGCTGTAGAAGGTGATGTAGATGCAGATGACTTTGAAGGGCTTGGAGCAGACCCAGGAGACGTGGCTCTGGGTGTGCTCGTGGTAGCAGGTCTTGGATGGGTCGTACGTGCACAGCGTGGTTTTCTTGGCACGGTCCACTTTCTCGTATTCCACGCGGCAGTTGAAGATTTTGGATTCTTTGGCCTCGATGAAGATCTGCTGCTCCAGGTCGAACTCAACAGCCTTGGTGGGAGGGACGAGGCTGACCGAGATGTTCCCCTGCCCGGTGGAGTTGTGGCGGAAGAAGACATTGACGGTGCCGTTGCCGTGATCCACCACCTTGCCGGTGATCAAGAGGTTCAACTTCACCGTCTTGATGTTGGAATAGAAATCTCCCCAACCAAAAATTTTTTTCAGTTTGCCCGAGGCCGACTCCAAGTCCCTCTGTCCTCGGGGATGTGGAGCGTGATCCCGCTCCGAGAGGTTGTCCAGGATATCCCACAGCTCCCGCGAGCTGCTCACCAGCTCCAGGAGGGTGACGTTCTGCAGCAAGGTTGGGGTGAGCAGGGGTTTGGTGGGGAGCAGCTCTCCGGTCTCCTGCGCTTGGTCTCCCTCCTGGCTCTCAGGCTCACGCTGCTCAGCGCCTTTCCCTGGCCCTTCTTGGCCGCAGACCACCTGAACACAGTGATGGCAGAGCGTGAGGGCTTGGCGGTGGGTAGCAGCCCCCTATCTTGTTCTCCAGTCATCCCACCATCTCCAGGTATGACCCAGCCATCCCCTTTCTTATCCTTGCTCTCCTTATTTCCCTTTTCTTTTGTCTTCCTATTCTGCCACCCTTCCATATCCCCTATTTCTTTTCTGGCAACAATTTTTTCCTTCTCTTGGTTGCTCAGGGAATAAGTGAGGGGAGCTGGGATAGATGCGTTTTCCCCAGTGGGAACTCCTTGGGCAGAGCCATTGCACCCAGAGTATCCCCAATGGGCAGAAGGTGCACATCAGTGTGCCCTCATGGCTTTTCCACCAGTTTTGAGGCTGACAGCACACTCACAGACCCCTCTTCTGACCTTCAAACCATGCCACAGTCTGATGGAGAGATGGAGCCAGGAGCAGCAGAAGTGAGCGAGAGCCCAATCCTGAGCTTCTCTGCAAACTCCTTTCCATTCCCTACCAGCCTGACGGTATCCGGTAGGGCATCACAGACCCCGTACAGGTGCAGGTGGGGGCTGGGGGCTGCCCCGTAGCTGCAGGTAGGTGAGCACCCAGCAGGCAGGTGGGTGCGAGGCAGCTCATCCTTCCTGGCGGGATGCAGATGCTGCAGCCCCATCGCTCCGGGCGAGGGCTGGGGGGAAATGCACCGATGCTCGGGAGCGATCCCGGCGCCGGGTGCCGAGCTGCTCGCTCCCAACGCCGGGGTGCGAAGGGCTCGGTGAGGAGCTGAGCGCGGCCTCGCGAAGGGCAGGAGGTGGCCCCCCAGCCCGGGGATGCTGCGCCAGGAGGAGGCTGCAGCTTTTAGAGGTGATCCGGAGGAATCTCCACTGTCACCCCTCACCTGTGAGCCCCCCCTCTTGCCTGCTGCCCAGCCTCTCCCTGCTGCAAAATAGCAGAAGTTTTGGGATGCTCGTTTCGGCAAGGGATGGGGTGGGGGGCGATAAAACGATCTGGGGGCGCTCCCGGCTGCAAACCCCCCGTCCCCCGTCCCCTGAGCTGCCCGACCCCCGTCCTCTGCAGCCCTCTTCTCCCCTTCCCTGCCACTCACCAGCAAAGAAATGCTCCCCTGGATCAGGAAGCCGATGCAGCTCCGAGTGAGATGCATTTTCCAGCCGATGCCGCCTGCCTTCGCTGTTCCCTCAAATTTAGTGCGGCTTTGGGTGGGTTTCTGGTGGTTTTTTGGTGTTGTTTTTTTTTTTTTTCTTTTTCTTTTTTCTTTTTTCTTTTTTTTTCCCTCCCTTCTTTTTAAGCGGGGGAGAACGTCAGCCGGGGGAAAGGGAGGGGGTGTCCCCCTTTAGAAGCCGCTTCCTCGATCCCCCCCCTTCGCCCATAGGGAGCTCCGGGCGGCGGTACCGGACCGGGGGGGGAGGCGGCTCCCGCCGCTGCTTCACCGCTGCCGCCACTCGCCGCCTTCTCGGGGACCGCCGCAAACTCCGCTCCGTGCCTTCCTCCCCTCCCTTCCTTCCAGGTGCCGGGAGCCGAGCGGCACCTCCGAGCGTAACCCTTTGCTGCCTGGCACCGCGTCCCCAAAGGAGGCCCGGGGGGAGTCCCCAAGGGCAACGTGCGGATAGGGTGCTGGGAAGTCCCCAAAGGGATGGATAGGACACGGGGGGGGGGATGTCCCCAAAGGGCAGCATGGAGATATGGCTGTGGGAGGTCCCCAAAGGGATGGATAGGGCACAGGAGGGGTCTCCAAATGGCAGCACAGAGATGGGGCACAGGGGGATCCCAAAAGGGATGGATAGGAGACAAAGGGGGGGTCCCCAAACGGCAGCATGTAGATGAAGGGGGTCCTCAAAATGCTAAATGAGGCACAGGGGGGTTCCCCAAAGGACAGCATGGAGATGGGGTTCTTGGGGGTCCCCAGAAGGCCAAATGGGGTACAGAGGGGGGGTATCCTCAAAAGGCAGCATGGAGATTGGGCACTGCTGTGTCCCCAAAGGGCAGCATGAAGCTGGGGCACAAGGGTGTCCCCAAAGGGATGGATGGGGCACAGGGCAGCATGGAGATGGGGCACTGAGGGGTCTCCAGAAGGCCCAATGGTGTGCAGGGAAGCAGTCCTTATATGGCAGTGTGGGGCTGAGGCACAAGGGTGTCCCCAAAGGGACAGATAGGGAACAGGGGGTCCTCAAAGGGCCGGATGAGGCACAGAAGGGTCCCCAAGTGCTGGGTTGGGTGCTGTCAGGCAGCGGGGCCTCCATGGAGAGGGGCATCCCCATATAAAAGGAGCAAAGCAGTGTGCAAAATGCCCAGGGCTGCCTTAGATACTTCTTTATCTTTGCACCAGAAAAATCAGGCAGTATCGTTATGCTCCCCTCTACCTCGGGGCTCAGTTTATCTCCATTCCATTCCCTCCATCAGGAAAAAAGCAATAAAAAACTTCTTTTCCCAATAGTCACTCGAAGGAAGACTAGGAAAAAAAAAGAAACAAAAAATAAAATAAAATAAAATAGAATCATCGATTTCCAGAGGTATGAGGGGGTGGTTGGAGGTGAGTCTGTGCAGGAGACTTCTGCCTGTGCAGAACGTGAAGGAAGTTTTTCAGTGGAGTTGTGATTTTTGTTTCTGCATCCGCATGCATTAATTCTGAGTAGAGCTGTTCTCCCTTTCCTTATCCACGGCTGTGCTGAGCATTGCTCCTCAGGCTTTGGAAATTAAAAAAGGAACAAGAAAATGTAGATTCTGTTCCCCAAGCCAGGCGGTTCGGCTTGTGTGCTATCCCAGAAGTAAGGGATGGCAGGCTGCGTTGTGCTTAAAAAGGAAACAGAACTCATTGGTTGGCTTTGGTGCGACACAAAGACGGAGCCTTGCTGGTTTGGGTTTGTTTCACTGAAGGGAACAGTTGTCCTTCTCCCGTCTCTCAGCAGAAGTTGCAGTAAGAAGTCATTTGCCAGGGACAGGGCTTGAATGAAACCCAGCATTTCTCAAACCCCAGGCAACGATCGCATTCCTTCCCATCAGATTATCTCCTGTATCCTGCCCATATTCCCCCCTCCCTCAACCTCCTCCTCCCCCCTTGCTCTTCTTGAGCCACTTTGGAAAGGCAGGTCTTGCAGTTCTGCTAAAGAGGAGCGAATTGTGGGGACAGAAGCATGCTTGGATGGAGGGGATGCTGTCGCTGGGAGCCCTGCGTGCTCTCCCATCTGCACAACGATGCTCTCCAGATTCTGGCTGTGATTGCAGTGCTGGGATCTGGACAGGCAGGCTTCCCTCATGGTTTTGGGGCCGGGAGGAGGAAGGAAGGTGAGTGACAAATTGCACAGCGCCCGCTGCCCTCTCCCTGCTCTGAAGGTACCTGCCTGCATTTCTGCCTTTCACCCCCGGACCATCTGGAAGCAGAATGGGATTACACCTCAGATGGATGCAGCTGAGTTCCATGGAGGCTGAACTGCTTCTTATTGCTGTTGAGCACAAGTCTCTCACTTCCCCCTCCTGCCCCCACGGAGCAGTGCCATTTGGGGGCACAGGAAGACATATCCTTAGTGCTAACAGAGGGACAGGAGCCCCATTCCCAGCTGGCCTGCCCCAAGGGGAGCCAATCCCTCCTGGCAGCCAGGGCTCCAAATATCCACCTATCCAGAAGCAGCGCTGGAAGAACCCCGGGGCCTCCTAAAAGCAGAAGGAACACAGCAGTGGAGGATATATGACAGCATAACGTTGTCCCGGCCCCAGTGGTGTGCTGGGTACATTTAATGGGCTGCACGTCTCTAACTACCCTGATTTCGATAAAAGATCTTCATAAAACTTCCGAATGCCTGTGCCAACACCTGCCTCTAAATCACTCCAAGAGCTGCAGCTCCTGCATTGTCTCCCTGGAGCTGTTGGCACTGTGAGGTTCCCCCCCCCAGGTCCCCTTCCAACGGTGCTGGGTGCATCTCACCCGTTGGCTGCTCTGCTTTGGGGTGGGGGAGGTTTTTGGGATGGTGCTGTGCTTGGGCTGTGAGGCTGAGCGGAGGTCAACACGGAGGAAGAACAGGGGATAAAAGTGATTTAAAGCGACTTGCTGGATTTTCTGCTGTTTGGAGGGAGCTGAAGACTGGCGTGGCATAAAGCAGGGCTGATTTAGGAGCTGCTCTGCTTGGCTGGCGCTGCAATGGTTCCCAGTGGGGCTGCTCTGATTGTCCATGCGTGGTGGGCGCAGGGCAGGCGCTGCCCCCAGCACAGCTCAGAGGTGTGGCCAACCAAAGTGGTTCCTGCACTCCCTGTGCAGAAATGGGACACTGTAGGCAGAACTAAAACCAGAGTGAGCCCACGGCCAGCATTTAGAGCCAGGTGTCCTTTCTAAACACTGGCAAATGGATTCATAGCACTGTACGGCTGGAGCGGCTTAAGGTGGGAGGGGGTTGTGGAAGGGCAGGGTGCTGCTTTCAGCTTGGCAAGAAAACTCCTTTCCTGCTCCTTCTGCCCCAAAAGGGATCCAGGATGGATGGCGTAGGTTTGGAAGGGGCATCTCGACCCCTTCAGTTGAATTGTGGGAAGGGGATCAGGTTGGATATTAAGAAAAAATTGTTCTTAAAAAGAGTGGTGACGCTTTGGTGTGGAGGTGTGGGAGTCACCAACCCTGGAGGCGTTCAGGAAATGTGGGGATATGGACTAAGGGACACCCCAACAACGGGGTGGGTTGGGTTGGACGTGGGGATCCGAGCAGTCTTTTCCAAGCATGATGACTTGGCGTTTGTATGCACTGGTGATGGGGTTTGGTGTGGCTTTGCTCAGCTGGAAGCTCCAAAGCTGCAGCTCCGGAGTGGCTTTTGCAATTAAAAGAAGATCCAGTGGCTGCAGCTGCTCCTCCAGTTCGGTTTCTCCTTATGGAATCGCTCGTCGTGCTGAGCTTGCCGAATTTCGAGAAGCATCTGTTAAACGGGCTGCCACCCGCATCCCAGCCGGGGAAACTCTGAGGCTGCAGCCGCGCTTTTCGGGTGCGATGGGGCCGAGAGCGGATCGCAGGGCCCTCCCTGGGCTGCTCAGTCCGGCTCCGAGCTCCTTTTCCTGGGTTTCTGTTGCCCTCTAGCGGGTTCTGAGCTGAAAATGGGCTGGGGATGGGGAGGGGACTGGGGTCAGCCGGGCTGGGGGCTCAGCTCTGCCCGACACAGAGCTCTGGGTAAGGGCAGGAAGCAAAAAGAAACGGGCAGAGTCTCTCGAAGCATCCCCGCTCCCTCTGTCGGCTTTCTATTCTTCCTACGGCAGCTTTCTATTGATGCATCTTATTTTTGGAAGCGTTTTTAGGCAGGCATTACCGGCCTCAGCAGAACTAAGGATAGACTGGAAAGATACAGGGGAAAAAAAAAAATAAATAAAAGGCTGTAAAGGGCAGAAGGTATTTTTAAGCAGAAAGGGTGGGGTGACACAGAGCACAGATATGAGAAGGGAACGGGGAGAAGCTGCTGTTGGTGCATCGCATTTGGCAGCAGGTAGGATGGGGTCTGCAAGCATCCATGCGTTGCAGGCAGCAGAGCTGAGGGGCTGGGGGATGATCCTGCAAAACCTGAGCAGCTGCACGTAAAGCAGAATTGTCAGGAATGTGAGTGCTAAAGACTGAAAAAATAGAAAAGGAAAAGAAAAAAAACCAAAACACTTTGAGAATGAAGATGCTCTGAGAGACAGCAAAGAGCGTGAGGTCAGAGAGAGCAGCTTATGCAAAGGCTTGAAAGAAGCAGGGGAGCGTAGCGAGAATGGGAGCCCAGCCTTCAGCCTGACAGCTGGTAGGGGAGGAAGAAAATGAATTCAGGTGCTGATTAAGAGGGACCCACAGCTGAAGATGCTGTGCTTCTACCCACTGCAGCCCTTTCCCCTTCCAGATGCTTTGGGAGAGAGGCTGCCATCCTTGTTTTGATTTTGCAGCCCTACACCCCGATGTTATTTGGCCACAGCTGTGATGTGAGCTCGGCTCCTCCAGGACACAGCTCAGTGCTCTGCCTCCTCCCGGAGCTGATCTGCCTTCAGCAGGTGGGTGCTGTGTGGGGAGCAGATGGGTGCTGTCTGCACCCAGCAAGGAGAGAAAGGTGGTTCAGGTGTCCTCTGCCCCTTTGTCAGTGGGCAGCAAAAGCATTTCTGCAGGTCGGTTTGGTGTCTGGTGGTAAATTCAGGGGAGAATGTAAAGTCATGGGTGTGTGTGTGCAAGGTGAGGTTTCCCTGGTGAAGTTCTCCCAGCTGGGTGGGATCTGTGTGTCTGCAGCTCCTAAGCTC